CGCGCGCGCGCGCGCGCGCGAGAGTGCATGTGTGCGTGCGGCGAAGGCGGTGGGGGGTAAAGAACGGCGACGGACTGCAAGTGACGTCACGACCGACCGACCCGTGTGTACCCTAGAGGGGGTTGCCGTCGACCGCGGCGTACGTACGCGGTGGTGAAATTCAGTAACGTTCCCGACGTGTGCGAAACGTGTCACGCTTTCGTGCCGCTGACGTCTCGCTTACCTTTTTTGCCCCCCCTCCCCCCGTGTGCGTGTTTGCGTGTGTGTGTGTGTGTTTGAGAGCCACAAAAATCACCACAAACGTCATCGGTGTCCGACTGGGAGAGTTCGTACCGTGGAGCATCGTAGCTGCGAGTGCCGCGTCCTCTGTTTTTTTTTCCCTATTCAAATTAATAGAATCTCGTCTTGCTGACCCCCGCGGTGGACACCGGAAACAGCTGCACCAATAGGCACGGGATTCGAGGTAAATTATTACTATCATTATTGCTGTTATTGTTGTCGCTACGTCGATCTATATCGACGGCGTACGGCCCGAAAACGCGAACGCTTCGCGACCATTATCATCTCCACGGTTACATCGAGATCAACAACATGAACAACCACCGTGGTAATAATAATCGCATCGCCAAACAACGCGATCCGAAACTGTTGCCGTACGCTTACTCGATTGTGTACGACAACCTGAGCAAGGACATTGGTAACAACCGGCCGTCGGATTTCGAACGTTTGCGGATTATCGTCGCCGCGCGGGCCTACAGGTGAACCGGACCGCACGTGTGCACGTCGTTATCACCGATCGCGCAGAGGCGTTATTCGTCCGCGCGCACATTATTCGCCGCCGTCACGCGGCGGCGGTTGTCCTAGGCGTCGTGTTCGTGGACCGGTCCCCCCGAAACTGGTTTACGCGTATTATATTATTAACAATATCTCTCTCTCTCTCTTAGCACCGTCCGAGGCGACGGAGAACCCGGACCGTGGTTTCCGTACGCGTACGGTACTATGTATTTATTTGCGTATATCGTACATAAAGTATATTACCACCGACTCCTGCGTGACGTTACTCAATTTCATGCTGTGGTCTTGATGATATGGTCCTCGACGGGGCGGTTGTATGCGGTCTCGCCGTTCGCGAAGGCCGGTCGGCTGTTGCACAATTTCGTCGTGTTCGACGTGAAAATCGCGGTTCAAGTTTTCATTCCGCGACGATTGCACCACGGTCTCCGGGTCTCGTTATAATAATATCGTTGCGTGCGTGATACTACTTATTCGGCCTTCGTTTAATAAACGTCAACGCGTTGCCGAGTGCTAACGGCTAAGGAGGGGTTCTCTGAGGGGTGGGGGGGGGCACCGGCGAGCAAAACCTATGCGTGGTAGTTGGTGTATCACGTAGTTCTTCAGCGATTCCCCGAAACAGACTCCTCCTCGCTTCGGTCGACCCATCTATATTTTACGCAGCGTCGGCCCGGAACACTAGTACATGGTCGAAACTCGTAACGAGCACGATCAAACGGTGCTTCTTTGTACACCGGCGAATCGCTTTGTTCGCACCGTCAAAAGAGATTCAATCTTCATAATTCTGAACGTTTTTATTGCTTTTGGTTAGTCTACCATCAATCGTCGATTATCTACAACGTTGATTCATCTACGTGTTTATTCGTATGCAAGAGACACGTAGTAGACAGGTTCGCACGGAAAAATGTTTGTGAATTAGATGTTCATCGTGGTTCATCTTAAAGATGATTGCACACCGCTATTGTTGACGGCGAAAGGGATCGTCGAGACGATTGCGACGCCGTGCGATCTGTGTGTCGATCACGCGATCCAGTGGCGCGGCGAACCATGTTTTTCAGAAGCAAACGCTCCTGGACTTTAGGGCGGTGTAACGTGACCGGGTCGCTACGAGAATGATATCGATTGACGGGTCGGGGTAAATGATTAATAAATTGTTGGCCACGCCGCCGGGTGCATGCATCCAAGTGCGGTCACGCGACACGCGTACTGCCGACGGCGTTGAGACGTACGCCGGACATGAACGTAATCGCAGAAATCGGTGCTGCAAAAAGCACAAAGTTCTAAGATACATTTGTATACGTGAAATGCTCGTTACGCGTGACGAACATATTACAGCCCCAATACCCTATCCACCCCCCGGATATTTTCGTCGGTGTCGTATCGGCCGACGTTCGTTCGTCCTTCCGAGCGCTCCGCGGAATCCGAAGTAAAACGAAACGCAGTGGCCCCACGGCAGACCTTGTCCTGCGCCGACGTCGGCGTCCGAAATGAACAAAAAATGCGCGCGCGCGCACAGAAATAGGACAGATGTAGTCAATTTCCGTTCGGGTCTCGAATACGTAATAACATTACTACGCTCCACGGCGGTCGTGCGTACAGGCGTGCACGCGGCGCAATAATGCGTGTTTACAACTGGTTTCTCGCCGGTGCGTCGAACGGCTCCGCGGATTTTCGTTTACAATGACCTCGTTCGGAATAGTACCGCGGCGGGACGGTAGCGGCATATTTTTGTTTTTGATCGCGAGAACTTGCCTGTCGATTGCCCCCGATCGGTCGTTTTTCGTCATTCCGACCGTTTTACTGTACACCGTTTGGCCCAACTACCGAGTATACCCCCCCCCCCCACATGACTTCAACGCAGTATCCTTGATGTCGGTGTTTTATGTATTGGCGATTGATATTGACGTCAAATGGTTTTGACTCGAAGCTATAGCTTCGTACACGTTCGGATAACGGGAGCAATTTGACAGATTGCCGCGGAGACTAATTGAACAAGTTTCTTTAAAAAAATTTAAACATCACTCGCTGATCAGCGCACAGCCAAAACTATCGTACCGATTCATTTGCGATTTTGAAGGACTGTACTTATGCGTAGGTGCGCTAAGAAACGATTTTTCGAAAATAGTATTTCAAGAGTCCGGATAGTGTCGGGTTCAGCTCAGACAAAATATATTAACATAACAAATTAACAAGTCCATATCAATTTAAATACTTAAATATTTAAACTATAGACACATGCGTAATTAAAACAAATTACTTAATAACGTCGTCCATCTTTGTATGTAGTGAATGTCCGAAAAAAATCATAAAAATTGAATAAAGAAAAATAATAAAAAAAAATTATGGACGTGTTTCATTGGCAGATTTATTTGTATGTATATAACTGATCACTAAAATGTTTTTATACTTTCAATCGAATCTCTCCTTAATATATATTATTCTATTGTGTTTTTGTCAGTTGTTAAATGTTTATTTATTATCATCCGATGATTGACACTGGTGTACTATTGATTTTAATATTTAGAACTGATAAACTATGAACGGTTTTATTGAAATATTTCTAGATGACGCATGTTGGTTGAACAATAATATAGTCACTCAGATAACTGTATGAAATATATATATATTGTATATATTTATATATATTGTTTGAAAAATATCATTATTTTGTAAAAGATAATTAATTGATCAATTATGAAAAATTATATTACTAAATTGTTTTATTTAAATATATGTACTATATTTCCAAAAAAATATATTTGTTGGTAAAAATAATTTCAAAAAAACCTATACTCCACTCGTAATTACAATTAATACATTTTAACGAAGCTAAACTTATGTCCGGTAAAACAATCGCTCGAATATGTTACTAAAGTGTTATCTAATTCTATACCAATTGATTTAATAATTTATTTTTACTTTAATTTAAAATATTTTCAATATTTAACTACCTATTCTGCCATTTATTTTTTCAAATCCAACCATTCATTGAAATCGATTTTGATTTTTCAATAATTACGTATGTGTACAGAGTGTCGGATAAAATTTTACTCAATTTATATGAAATAAAACTGCCCTAATTTAAATATTAAACGTAACGTTTAAGAGTAATTTAGTTATTATTTGTTCGAAACGAAAGAGAATGTTAGGTATAGAACATAAAATATATAAACATTCTATAATCATACAGAGAAATCGACGTTTTTAAAATAACCCACCGACAGAGCGAGGTTATTGTTAATTGTTACTGCAATTTGGTCTTGGGAATTTTTTTTTTCTTTTTTTTTTTATCGTCTGAAATCCTAAAAAGTCTGATGATATACGAAGCTCTAAAACCGCCTTGTATGTAGCATCGAATGGAACGTCATGCACGCACTTTCCTTACGGCTCGCAAACTTAATACCTGGAATCTCGTATAGGGGCTTCCTTCGTGGGTTTTTCTCCCTCCTCCTCCTCCTCATCTATTTCACAGTGCACTGTGTATATATATATATGTATATATAGACGAGTACCGAGAGCGTTTTGGTCGCCGGGTCGATATTGTGTTTCACAACATCGTGGGGGAGATATGTACGCGTTCAGGGGTGCCGGTACGGACAAAACAAGACCCCTAGAGGGAAGTCCCTTATTCAATCCCCCCGCCACTCCGCGTCACCACCCCTCGTTTACAAGCCCGGTCGTACCATCCACCACGGGAACCCCCCATCGTGGTGCCCGACCCCAGGCGGCGTATATCTGTTCCGCCCCGAAACAACGCCGCTGCGAACGCAGGGTCTAAAAATACACTGCCTTCGGCGCAGCATTAATGCGAAAAAAATTCTTCTCGAGCTTTTATTTTTTTTTTCACTTCAGACGTTACCAGGGCAACGTACGAAATTTTCAACGGTCTGCTTTGGCGATGTGTTATTTCGTTCTGAAATATGACCGCTGCGGGTTGTGTTATAACCGTTATAATATAACGCGAAAGCCCGATGGATGAAATATATTATCGCACTGTCGTTATACGAACCGTACGAACGAGCTGTGATTTGTTTAACATTACATCGCCGCCGCTACCTTTTGCGATTAATTATTAATATGTGTTCGGAAACGTTAATTCATTCCCGAGTCGTCTTCCAAACTTTCCGTTGGACCGGAACGTATTAAAATATTGCGAACGACTTTTTATCGGCGCATACTGAACGCGTTTAAACCGTATAATATGATATTAGTCGTAGCGTAAATAAATCAATATTTTTATACGCGTTGTACGACAACAGAGTACCTGTGAACGTCATCATTTATGATACTTCATATTTGCTTGTCAGAAATACACATCCGGCCGATCTGGTGGGACCGCACACACTAATGATTGTCGTGACAATAACAACCGCCGGTTGTGATACGACCGAGTATTGTACTGGTATAATACCTGTTTGTCAACATGGGTCAGATGACATTACGACTCGCCTTTAAAAACGGTCCACGTATCGCAGTCGGACCTTTTTTCCTGTCATAATCAACGATGTCTCATACCTTTACAGTTCGATTAGCGCGTCAAACGTGGTATTTTCTTCCACCATTTTAATGTCTATGTATATATATATATATATATATATATATACACTTACTCGGAATCCAGAATTCTTTGAGAGAGAGACTTTCGTAAAAAAAGAAATCACGATTTTTCATCATCTAGCTTTTGGTCCGTGTCCTTTTTTTCCCCTCCAATTCACCCTCCGAGGCGTATGCTCTCCCTGCATTATTTCGTGCCATGTTATCGACTCTGGATTCCCCCTATACCCCCACTGAGTCACCGAGCAAAGGGTCTGTCCCCCTCGTTTTAATCCCCCTTTTACGCTGCTCCTCCCCACAACGTGCACTCTCACGCACACATAGGAATAAATATATATATATATACTTAGAGCCCGCGCTTTTAACGATCGCTACGCTGGTTCCCTCGTGGTAGTGTTCTCCTCTCCCTACCCCTACACACGTGAAACAAAAAAAATATCATGCTAAAAAAGGGTTGCTAAGCCGTCAGATTGAAGAGCCAAGTCCAGTATCACGTGTTGGTAAAATGATAATGAAACTTCAGACTTCACTAAGAATCGATATTCATTACAAGTATTACCGAGTATTTTTATTACTAGATATTTTTTTTATATTTACATTTTTTAAACTATATATTTTTATAATTTCCAATCGATTGTGCATTTTATTATACTATTGAAATCTTGTGTTACAGAAATATACGAAACATCTGCTGATCGTTACATTGGAATATTTCTTATTTTTTTTTTTATTTGATACGTAGATTTTTGTTATTTGTAAGCTGCATCATAAATTTCTCGATTTCTGTCATTTAAAATGAGAGAAAAATAATTAAAACTATAAAAATGTTGAATATTTGCATACGAGTATGGATAATGTTCTGTATAAAATATAGTAATTATGGACAATTTTTATAATTAAGTCAATTGAAAAATAAAAATCCAAAACAAAATATTCGTTCCAAAATCAAACGAAATTCCATTCATATTCATAGCCGATTTTCATTAATTTCATACACAATATGTGTACATGTAGCTAGAATCTACAATAATCCTGTTTAAATCACCATTATAAGTTTCAAAAGTAAACTTATGTTTTCCAGATTTTGTTGATATATATTCGTAGTGTTTGAAAGCAAAATCATTCTATAATGTGATTAGTTTAAAGAGAAACGCTGTTACATTTTTTCCCATACTCCGATTGCAGTAAAACAAGCAAGACCCACTACAAATTCCACATTTTCATATTTAAATCTTGAAATCGACTTGTTGGGGGAAATAGTTTTTTCTATATATTCAGCTGTGTTACTGTAAATGTTTTTGAACTGTAGTGACTGCGTTAGTGCACATATGCGGGACCCTCGCTAAGGTTTTATAACGTTGCCCCATAGTCAGGACGTGCATGCAGCAGGTCTATCCAAAAAGGTCCGTCTCCCCCGCCCGTAGTGTACCCGCCCCCAACCGTGCACTCGTCCCTTTTCATGACGCACCGTATACGTTGTGCGACCGAGAGCGCTCGCACGCGCCCGCGCGTGTGAATGTGTACACATTACTGAAACCAAGGCCCCCCGGCACGATGCTCGGGTACCTTGCAGGGGTGACCAAAATTCTAGTCAACATTCGACGTCTGAAAACGAAAACGTACGAAACGTTTTTTAATCATTATTCGTGTTATTATACGTACATCCGATTGCGCACACAATAATAATTGAAAATTTTTTATTCGGATTTTTTTCAACAGTATGTATTCACGTTTTTTTTTCTATTCAAAAAAATATGCTCAATCGTGTTAAAAATACACTAAATGACAACAAATATAAAAAAAACTCATACGATTTCTGTGTAAAAACGTATTTAGAATATGAATACATTTTTTTTCTCATACACATTATTATTATTATTATTTTCAATTTTAGATGACCAACGATATGGAAGTCGGTAATAAATCATTTAACCTTCGGTGGAATAATCATTTGGAGAATTTACGTGCACTGTTCGAATGTCTGTTCAATGAACAAATTCTCGTCGATGTGACGATTGCATGCCAAGACGGTTTATTGAGAGTGAGTTAATTTATTTTTTTAAACCATTAATTCGTGTTATTCCATCCAAAATGTTTTATGTTTAGGCTCATAAGCTTATTTTATCCGCGTGCAGTCCATACTTTGAAACAATTTTTCAAGAAAACCCGTGCAAACATCCTACGGTAATAATGAGAGGTGTCACTCTACACGAAATGCAGAGTCTGTGTCAGTACATGTACGTGGGTTCCGTGGAAGTGCAAGAGAGCAGTTTGAGTTCTCTTCTGAAAGTAGCCAGAGAGTTGCAGATTAAAGGTAAAATACATTTGTACCTATTTTTTTATACAACCAATCGATTGCTTAATGGCGTTTCAATCGCTGTACTCAGGTTTATCCGAGAAAACTGTGTCCAACGACCATTCGTCGAAACCCAAACCGACGTTCAATTACACACCGATTAAATCCGATCCAAACGTCAATAGCAAGTTCGAAATGGTAAGTAGAAGAAGAGTTTCTACGGCTTATTTTACAATCGCGACGATTCAATTAATATACCGTGTGCGCATTTCGGTTTCAGACAAACGGTAGCACTAGCTCGGCCGATGCTGATTCCAGGACGTTCCAGGTTCCTTGCGAGGACGATTCGTCGGATAACAATACGTCTTTCGAACAATCAAACATGCTGAGTCCGCAAGTAATGATGGACGAACACACAGACGAAAATAAACCTACCATACTGTCGCAACCGAAGTATCAACCGTCGCAAGTAGATTTCCAAGCGTTCATCGAGGCCCAGAACAAAGTCAGCTTGACCGGCTCCGTCGAGTGTCCAACTTGTCAGCGCACGTTTCTCAACAAACAGAACCTCAGGCGTCACATGCAAACGCATTCCGGACTGAAGCCGCACCAATGCACGTATTGCAACCTGTCTTTCCTGAGACTGTCGCACTTGCAACGGCACCACAGAACGCACACGGGGGAGCGGCCGTTCTTGTGCACCGAGTGCCCGAAGAGTTTCTCGAGGTCGGACAAACTGAGATATCACATTATGCAGCAGCACGCGAGCATGGCCCATCTCCCCGGACCCAAGCAGAGAGGTAGACCGAAGAAGGTCAGCATATACTAAAAACTGTGTACTGAGACACTGGCCGAACGCATGCAGTTAGTGTACACACGGTGTCTTGTGCAAACATTTTTTTATTGTATGCTTGGACTTGGGTTCCCGATGTTAATAGAGTAAATTTTTATATGCATTATAGTTTGATTCACCTAATGGTAATGTGGACGTAACCATGGTAGCGAACATACAGAACTATGAAGAACAATGCGTACCAGTGCCTGTACAAGAACTTCAAGAACCATTGAACTTGGCTCATTAGATCTCTATGCCATTTTTAATTATTTGTTTGATTTTTTTTTTTTTTTGTTTGAAAGAAGAGTGTTAGTTATTAGTATTTAGTGTACACCTTTTGGTTGTCGTGTAAATAATTACAGAGTAATCAGATGACAACACTTTTTGTCTAAAGTGAATTAATACGATTTATGAATTATATAAATTATTTAGAGTTCTATTCAATTATATTGTGGTAGCATTATTACCGAGATCGTTATGCTAGTGGTTTTTTTTCGATTTTTGGACAATTTTATATTTCGAGACTAGTCCAAAAGAAAGTAAACGGTTTTTTATCTCTTAATAATATTTTACATAATATTTTACACTAGGAATAATTGTTTGATTAAAACTAAGGTCACATAGAAATCTGGTATAGTTTGACTCCATTATCTAAGTTTTGATTTTTATTATTATTAGTATTTTACATATAACTAAACTGATATGTACTAGATTAAAAATAAATATATAAGACTGATGAAAAAATATAGAATAACAAAAACCATTTTATGCAATAGGAACCAAACTTACCAGATATGTATAAAATAAATTTATATCTGTAATAAATCAATATATTATATCTATCATTATTATTATTATTAATACTTTTTTTAACATAATATATTAACAATCAATTGTGTTGTATCATTATATATAATTTATACATATATATTATAAACTTATAAATGTATTTATAAATTAAACTGTATTGTCTCTTGAGTGTTTATATGTAACTACACATATTGTTTGAAGTATTTCTTTTTTTTTTTTTTGTAAAGTGAATATTTTATTGGTATTTAAAAGCCAGAATCTCTCTTTACACAATATTATATACTGTTTTTATGCATTTGGCGAAGGGGCTAAACAGTTATTTGAACCTAAACTTTTGAAGAAGCTACCTGTCTTACTAGTCGGAGTCTGTTGATTCAAAATCACTGGATTGCAACTCTGGCAACCATACTTCCTCAGATGTCTATTGTTCACGTGCATTAATGAATTTTTTAATAAACCTATTTGTGTAGCCAATTTAAATATTTCTTCTTTAAGTTCTTCATTTTCTGTTTGTAGATCGTTAGTTTCTTCACATACCTCGTTCATCTCATATGACATCAGACCTTTAGCCTGAAGCTTTTTCTCCCAATGGTCCCCTTGTCCTTTCAACACTCTTATCACTTTTGAACCAAAGACCAAACCAATGGTTACTGAAGTACTCAATTGAGTCCGGATGAATCCTAATGTATATTTGAAATTGGGCCCGATATCAGGGAACAGGAAAAAACTAAAACCAAAAATGCCTGAGTTTCAGTAACTACAAAGTGTGTAATTAATAAATCTTACTGAATCGTCATCATGGTTATGTTAACTATGAATATGTTGTAAATGGCAAAATTGATCAATTGGGCTTCATTGTAAAACGATTCTGCGTTTCTCACGACGTAACATACTCGAACACCCCATACCAGGAACAAGACTTCACCTAAACAGATAATTTTGAGTAAAAATATTTGACAGTTTTAAAATGTTACTCGTATGTATTAAAAATGAGAAAACCACAAAATGGAAGAGTTTTTATATATACTTTTAATCAACCGAGTACATTATAATTTCTGAGGTACCTACATTTTTATAAAAATTAAATTATTAATTTAAATTTAAATTAAATTAATTTTTTTTATACATTTTTCAATAGAGTCCAAAATACTTTTTGACCATCTTATAATATATACAATTATTGTAATTGTATTAGAATAGGGTGACCATAAAAATATGGTACACTTAAGTTACTTAATAAAATATATTAATATGAAAAAAACAAATTAAATGTATGCTGTATAATAGTTTTTAAATACAAATAAAATATTAATAAGTATAATATGTACACAAAATCCATAAAAAAATTATTTTTATGACGATGGCAGGTAAATTTCTTCTTTTGATGTTTTTGTGTACTTTTATGCTGAACTGATTTCATCGAGTAACTTAGTTTCTCTTAATAGAATATTATAAAACTCATTACAAGATAAGTTTTTAAAATGTGTTTTTACAATTATAATTGATTTGATAGTTTCAACCAAAAATCGATTTTTTTCATCTGTCCACAACACATTAATAATTGAAAAAACATGGTTGAAAAAATCCGTTCTACTGCAATATTTGTATCCTGAATTGCCAAAGAATATTCTACAATTTTTGATATGTTAGTTGTATCAATGTTATAAGCTTTAGTGTATTTAAATATTTCACACCACTAAATTTCTACTTTAGCTGAATTTTTTAGCCATTCATGAATTCATGATTTAAAAATTTGTTCTACATGACTGAATTCATCAAATAAATTATCTTTATCTAATTTTATATTAGAATTATTTATTTATTTATTAAGAATTATTTCGGTTGTTTTCCATAAGAAATTTAATACATTTTTGAACATTTTCCCAAGTAGGACATTTTATTAGTTGGACCCAACGAAATATTTTCAACTGGTCAAAGTAGCAACCCCATTTTTCTACGTAAGATAAAAAAGTATTGTAAAATAGATCAGTACTTTTTTTGAATGAGTTTTCATTATACATATTATTGTTTTTTAAACCATTTAAAAGCGATAAAATATTTGTTAATATAAAACTATGTTTTGCAACGGGTCTCAGAACACTATGTGGCCTAGAAATATACTTTAATTGTAGAGCCTGAAGACCCTACAAAGCCTGACAGTAAAATATGACAATTTTACAGTGGCAGTCAATCTGTTAACGTTGTCGATAATGATGTGACATTATTAGTTCTCTATTTTCTACCCCCAACAATTATAATAATTTATTGTCAAGATAAGAATCTAAAAATAATGCTGATAAGTATAGATTTAAAATATGTTCTATTGAATATTGTGATACAAAAATATCGTAGAATAAAGAAATAAATAAAAAAATTATAAATTAACAATAAAGAGAAAAACGGGTTTAGTACGGGAAGTACTTGAAAATACGGGACGAAATGCGTCCCGTATAACTTTTGTTGGGACAACGGGACACAAAGTGGAAAAACGGGACTATTCCGTATAATTCGGGATGTATGGTCACCTTATATTAGAACCATCACTGAAAGTAATTAAAATAATATTTTAAATAGCTTTTCTAAATAGGTGCCTAATTTTATACAAATACATTACACCACGAAATTAGCTGAGTTATTATTCTTACAACTATTACGTGATAAAAAAAGTTATTTAGAAAAATTTTGGCATGGGTTTTAGATGTCGTTGTGTTTTAGTTAAAATAATATCAACAACTTTTCTGTAAATAATTTATAAAACAATATGTCAATGTTCTAGAATGTTTATTTTTGGTAAAACAAAATAGAGTTTTGTTGTCAACAAAAACTCGTTTTAATAGCTGATCAGGTACTTAAGACGTTACGAAGTATAAACGATTTTACCGTAAGTATAAACGATTTTACTGTTCTTGTTGTAAACGTACTCGGCCTATTAATTTTATGGTTTATGACCAAGGCTCGGAACTTTAGACATTTGCATATTTGTTTAGAAAGTGCATATTGAACTTCTGGTTCGATACAAATTTGATCCATACTACGTATATTTCAAATATAAAAATTTTTGTTGCATAATTTTGCATATTTCGTCATTTTTTGTACGAATTAGCATATTTTAGGTTTTAGAACATTTTTATGCATATTTCATAGATTTAACGAAAACAATTTTTTTTTACATTTATACAATTTAATTATAGTTAACAAAATAAAATTAGATATTTTACAAAATAAATTTATCGAAAAATATGTCGTTAGATATTCTTATATTGCTCCCAATGCATTTAACAATAATATTATATAATCTCTAGTACTGAGAACTCGAAATAGTTACTGCCGACCGGCCGGCCCGTATTTATTATTATCCAAATTTAACACGGCATTCATATATTTCATATATGAATCCTAGGAAATTTGTAAACAATTATGTTTAACCATTAGGTTGTTATCAGTATTTATACACCATATTAATTCTGTTCGTTGTAAATTAGTATTATTATTACAACTTGTAATACTACGGTCTACGTGCGTACCGGTTTCACTGTACAGTGCGAACTTCCGAGTGCACATTAGTCAGGCGTCAGTATTAAGCCCGTCGCGTGTCGCAGTGATAATTTTATTTTTTTAATATTTCTGATTTAACGATGCCTAAAGATAAGCAATCATTGTCACGACGCCTTAAATCTTTAAGCTCTGAGTTCGGTGAAGATGTATTCTCTATTGATAATGTAGTTCTATTTTGCAAACTTTGCGAAGTGAAAGTGGATCCCGAAAGACGATCTAGTATTACACAGCACAGAAAAACAGAAAAACATCGTCGTGCTGTAGAACGTAAAATAAATCAAAAAACAGCCAACAGCCAACAGCTATTAACAAATCTAACGTCGAAAAAATCGACTTTTAATATGGATTTATGCAAAGCTTTTATATCAGCTAATATTCCGCTTAACAAGTTACAAAATACAGAGTTTCGTCAATTCTTACAGCTATACACACAAAAAGATGTCCCCACTGAATCGACACTTAGAAAGTTTTATCTTGATGATTGTTACGAGGAAATGATGAAAAACATAAGACAACGTGTGTTTTTAAAAAAAATTTGGATATCGATCAATGAAACGACTGACGCTGAGGGAAGACAAATTGCAAACGCCATAATAGGAACTCTAGAAGAAGATAGAACAGGTGATATATTTTTATTAAATACCGACGCATTAGAAAAAACAAACCACTCTACCGTATGCAAATTTTTCGACAAATCGCTCAGTATTTTGTGGCCTGACGGAATCAAACACGATGACGTGTTATTATTTCTATCGGATGCGGCGCCTTATATGGTTAAGTGTGGGAAATCACTTAATGCGTTATATTCAAAAATGGTACATGTGACGTGCGCAGCGCATGGTCTCCATAGGACTGCTGAAGAGGTACGTGGACAATTTAGCACAATCGATAAAATTATATCGAATGTCAAAAATTTTTTTAAAAAATCGCCATCGCGTGTTCAGATATTCAAGACACATGCCCCGAATATTCCCTTACCACCAGAGCCAGTTATCACACGCTGGGGCACGTGGCTAAATGCTAGCATTTATTACTGCGAATATTACAAACAAATTTGTGAAATTGTAGAAATATTAGACTCAGAAGACGCTTTAAGTATAAAAATAGCAAAAAAAAATTTGGTAAAAATATGTGTCAAAAGTAATCTAGTATACATAAAATCAAATTTTAAAGTACTTTCAGATTCAATTTTAAAATTACAAAGAAAAAATATGCCTTTAGCTGAATCCTTAGATATTCTGGAAAAAGTTCAAGTTCAGTTACAAATGGCTCAGGGTTATGATGGGCAAAAAGTGTATAAGAAATTTGAAACGGTTTTAAACAAAAACAGCGGATTAAAAATACTAAAACAGATATCAGAAATAATTGGAGGAGAAAGTGACAACATGGATGATCTACATGAAGATCTTACCACAAATGATTTAAGTTTTTACAAGTTTGCTCCAATTACATCGGTTGATGTGGAGAGATCTTTCTCGATTTATAAAAATCTCTTGACGGACAATCGGAGATCATTTAAACTCGAGAACATAAGGAAACACCTCTTACTTCAGTGCAACACGGGTAAAAAATAACCTATCTAATTGTTTAAACATTTAATAATTCTAATTTTTTTTAGTAGGAAATCAAGAAGGTTAAAGTTTTTTGAAGATATACAGGCAGACAGCAATACAAACAAGTGTGCAAAAAGTTTATTTTTTTTAAATTTTATTTTCTCATGTACTTAATTTTAATTTTCAAACTTTGTGTATAATATTTATTTTTTATTTAATAAATTGCATATTTTTGCATATTTTCCAAATTTTTACTGCATATTTTACCGCATATTATGATGTTTTTTGACGCATATGTATGCGCATATTTGAGAACTTTTTAGCGCATAAAGTTCCGAGCCTTGTTTATGACTAATAAACATAGTTAAATAATTCACAGATAAATAATTTTCTAAGAAAATAACGTCCTCCGAGTATGCAAACAATTTAACATGATGATCAGAACGTTTCGGTCATTATAAAAAACAGCCGTGAATTAGCAATTAGAATTTACGTATTGCCAAGTTTATCCATTTTAATGTTATCTAGTGTTTGTTTGTCTAACATTTTCTAAATTTTTAAAATCAATGAAAATAATTACAACGAAACCTTTAACTACTATCATAATAGAGATATTACATTTTTGACTACTATATATTATAGACCATTTATATCCAATAAATAATTTCAACGTTTCTTAATGTGTCTTGAGTTTTTTAGACCTTTTAACTTCATTGCTTATCTAATATGTGTTATACACAATATTTGAAAAAATAGTTTTGAAATATTTAAAACTTAATAAAGAAAACAACTCAATTTTATACGTCACAGAAAACATAAATATTTCGTATTATTAAATTAATTGAACTATGGGCGGGTTTCGGAATTGTTTTATATCCGTAAAATTACTATTTTCGTTCGATATTTATAACTGAATTATTTAATTATTAATTATTTTTAACTGAATGTGTATTAATATATTTGAAAATAAATAAAAATCCTGAAACCTCAGATCCTAGATAAACTTGTTTTCTTCCTCGTGGAAAATTGAGTTTTTTATAATTTTAAATCATTGTGATGAATTAATTTTAATTAATTATTAATAAAATAAAACAAATATTACTAAATGGTTAACAATCGTAGGTAAATATATATTTAGAAATAAATAAAAAATGAATAAATGTGTAGCCTGGATTATTAAAATATGTGTGTATTGTACGACCGGAGTTTTTAATTCGAAACCAGTCAAACAATACATCTCGTGGATGCATCCGAGTTTCGTCCCAAGAACCTTTTTTTATACCAATTCCGTTCCTGTTAAAAAAAAAAAGGTATATACTAATTCCGTTCTTAATCATTTTTATATAAAGTCTTAATTTGTATAATTATTTTTGCTATAAAATGCATTAAAAAAAAAAATAAAAGTATTCATATTGTTTATATTTTTATAAGTTAATCGTAATAATATATCTGTAATTGCTGATCTACTAACACTAAAGCAACTTCATTTGCCATTGGTGCATTATACCTGCATCTATGTTCTTCTGGTGGTTTTTTATCTGCATGTATTACAACTTTAAATGACTCTGAAGGAGGTATTTTATCGATGGTAAATTGTAATGATCAATTGTAAATTATGCGGTGGCATGCCTAGTAAATCCAATGAGTTTAAAAACTGTTGGATAATTTACAACTTCAGTAGCATCGCAAACTGTATCTAGATTTATATGACACCAAGTTTTCTGGTAACAAATTTTGTATCTTGAGATTCAATTCGTTGACCTCCACATTTTTTGCTACTAAAATTGTTCTTTCTGCCAGCCACTCATGATTTGTGTATTGTCTGTGTACACTGGGACATATCTAGTCAATGAGAGCATCTTGCGAATAAATGATTGTGCAGAAATAGTTCGGTAATTTTATACATCCCGTTTCATCTGTAGTAACTTTCCCATCTCCAATATCTAACAATTGTTTTGAAAATCTTTTGCACGCAGCTTTTTTTGATTGAATCGAAATCGAAGTATCGAAATCGTTCGCTATCTATCTTTATATATATTTCGACCATGAATTGTTGACAAAGCTTATGCATCGTAAAATAACTTATTCCTGATCGCGTCTAATCATCAACCGATATGCATAATAATTTTTTGAACAAACATTCTTATTTGTTTTGGCACCTGCTGCGGGATCTTTTTGTTTAATATTTATGCAATACCCGTCATTTACTACCAAAAATAAAATTAATAGTTTTTAATAGTTTTATTTAATATAATTCATTTTCAATAGCGCAGTTATCGACCTGGTCAAAAAATATTAAACCGATTTCAACCCTTTAAATTCAAAATTTCGAAAAATCCTTTCTTAGCGCACGTCTACATCATAATAGCTATCTGTATGCCAAATTTCAGCCAGATCCGTCCAATGGTTTGAGTTACCAATTATTGGTAAATCTATTTAAAAAACCCGAGACGGAACTAGTATATCTTTAAATTATATTTTTATTTTTGGGACGGAACTCGGATGCAGCCACCTCGTATCTTGATATTTCAGGTAAGAGATGCCCATGACATCCAAGAAATTCATTTGTCGAACAAATTATCTCCGGTGCTAGACTATCATACTACATTGGACCGAAGAGGTTGGCTGGAAACAGGGAAGAGTGGAGAGTCATATCCGACTGCAAAATAGTTGTCTACGTAATTATTTATTTCTACGTATAAACTATTTATATGTATAATAATAATTATTGAATAATCAATCTTACACACCGACAGCCAGACAATAATCCCACCAGTCATTTGAACACCGCCAAAACTTGAGCTCTGTATCCGTTTCTTTACACAGCACGGCCTGGGGCGGATCGCTGAGCGTCCAGGATCCCATATAGACCAATATTATCACTAGTATCGGCGTCATCCATTGCAACAACTGCTTGTCAGTGAGCTTCAATTTGTGCGCCGACTTCACTCTGTACGTCAGCGACACCCTCCAAGTCTTCATCAACAACGCCAAGTACGTGATGCAAAATCCAAAATGTCGCGCCCACTTGGTAGCCACGCACAGCTCCTGGGTGCATTCTGGGAACATGATACCCATCTGTCCACAAAACCATGGTATTGGTCAAGATTGTAAGAATATACTGTTTTTAAAATCGGTTACCACTGTTAAAGGCTGTCAAACGTATTATGCAAGAAACATTGTATACAAGAAAACAACACTCGAGTAACATTATTACGCACTACAATGTTGTTGAACCAATTTTTTAGAAAAAAAAAAATATTACTAGTTATTTAATTATTAAACGGAAAAAATATATATCAAAAGTTGACAGTTGCAGTTTTGAAATTCTTTGTCGAAACGATGCTGGTTATAAGTTACAGTTATTGCTAATTAGTTAGTGTAATTACCAGTTAAGAGATATCAAAAATCTAAACAGTAAATAATGAAAATTTAGATATACTATTTATACAAATACCACTCGACGACACTATCTACAACTATTTTAGAGCGACTAAACCAATTTAACAATTTAAATAAATAAGTCAAAAACATCTCTAATTTTATTAGTCTATAATTATATTGAAATATTTCATTTTCATTGGTATTGTATTAAATATTATAATTGTTGTGCAGTTAGGTGAAATATGATAAAAGCCGAGTAGCACATTTGATCCATTATTTTTCTTCAGTTCAATAGTTATCTATTATGTGTTAATATTCGAGACTATGAGTCTCGAATATTAACACAGTTGAATTTCAGTAACTTAAGCCTTGATAACTCAAAATCCAATATTTTAAATAAATACATTTTAAATAAAAATAACACTAAATGTTTAAACAGTTTTGTTAACTTCAAAATTAATTAGACAAATTATCAGTAACTCAAATTTTCTAAAATAAACTGAATACTGAAAATAGTTTCTTATAGAAATTATAAAAAACAAAATGTTTCATCTATCTACAAATGAAAGCAATCAAATTTTAATAAACATATTGGACACTGTACGATTATATGCTAAAACTTGGAGAGAAATAAAAATTGAAAGGGTCGTCATAATTTTTTCAAAATCAAGTTTGATCAAAAATAATTCTTATGAATCACACATTTCTGAAAAATGAAACTAACAGAGAAGATAGATCTTAATGAAAACATAGTTTTAAATTCAAATGTCAATGACAATGATGATTTGAATATTTCTGAAAAATGGATTGAAGGCGAAATTATTTCCAATGTACTGAACAATGATAATGAAAAAAAAATCGGAGACCCACAAATACAACCCACCATAACAAGTAAAATAAAGAAACTTGCATTACATATATCACGTAAATATATTGAAAGCAATGAATGTATGGACGTTTTATTTAAATTGCTCGGTTATTTAAATAATACAGTTCATATAAAAATTATATAAACACATATAATTAACATTAGGAGTACACCAATGCTTTATATAAAATATTATGTACAATATTTAAAAATGTAATGTACCTTGAACATATAATTACAAATTATAAATATGCATAAAGTGTGCAGTATTTTTTTTGTGATTTTTCGATATTTTTAGTAAATTTAATTTTTTCATTCCCCGTGAACTTCTAACTACCGAAAATAGACCGTATAATTAACCTATTCATTACGATTTTTTTCTGCTCGTAAACTCTTCTGCATATAAGATAATCAGCTGGCTATTTTGAATTAATACAAGCGTACAATAGGTTACAAGTGTCTAATCTAACCGGTCCACGAATAGAAAAAAAAAATGAAAACGTACAACGCTCTTTCAATGTTAAATTAATACAAGCTCAAATCTTTTAAACAATATACTTTTAATGCCAATACGGATTTACGAAATCTGATGCAACGAAACATATTTTATCAAAATCATCCATATTATCAATGTGGGGTGGTTTTCTACTTATAATTGTTATAAGAAAAATTTTAATATTTAATCTCTATTATATACTGCATTTCTTATATTTATAGGAAGATAAAAATTAATTGTAGTTGACTATTCAATTACTCTACTCGACGATTCCAAGGGTAAAATTACCATTTTATAATCTTTTTCTCATTATATTTACTTCCGAATACATGATAATACAGCCGATCAACGTGATGATTAAGAACGTCGGACTAGCAATCCGAAACACTTTGATTCGACGATTCTTGTGAACGAACCATATCAATATCACGGTTAATATAATACAGACGACGGTGATTCCGAGAAACGTACTTCTGAAATATACGTGTAATAGGATAAAATGTTAATACTATACTGCATTAGTGAATTTTTAATAATAAAAAAAAAATAATTTGGTATTTTTTACTCCGGTTTACCTTTGTATCCACGCAAACTTGGCCATACAGCTTCCGGGTCCTTCGCACGTGTCACATCCTTCCCAGCACTTATGACACGAATATTTCTCCTCGATCTCTTCGGGCAATGCCACTACGTGATAATTTTCAAAAACGGAATATTAAAATTAATTATTATGATTATATATGTACTCCCGTGTTTCAAATAATAATTATAATCCGGTCTGGATTTAAGGGTTCATTTTATAATAAATTCAATAATGCTGCTAAGTATCGCCTTTATTTAACGACGATGTATCGTGTAGTCATGTCTTTGGAATTTCTTTGGATTTAAAAAAATAAAAAGAATTTTAAAGTAATTGACTGCAAACAATGACAAAAACGGATCTTGATGTACACACCTTGAAGACAAAACGACGAATGCACAAATCATATTGACGATAAAATGTCTCAGTGCCACCACACTGAAATTGAAATACGACAACTTAAAAAACTTTGACTTGAACATTACCCAGAACATAACAAAAAACTTTTAAAAACACTGAATAACGAACACTTTCAGACGACCATGGTAATGATCAGGGCTAGCGAAAGGGTAGGGCAAGGAGAGCTAGAGCCCTGGGGCCCGTACGTCCGAGAGGGCCCGTTGTTTCGGCCTTTATATAATGTTTTTGTTGTACCAAAGCATGTATAAGTAATCTTGGTCAAATAATTGCAAAGGGAAGAGGGCCCGGAACCCCCGCAGCCCCGGGGCCCTCAGAAGTTCTCGCTGGCCCTGACAACGATGCAATTTCGTATCCGGCCGGTCGAACACGAAGGCTAATCACCGCCGTCAACGATGGCTCCGGATACGCAACGCATCAAACGAAAATGATAACACGGAATGAAGACAAATGATACAATATACGATAATTATATTAACAGATTATAATGAAAAATAATAAAATGTAGCCCTTTAATCATTTAAATAATTTTACACCGAGTAATTTTAAATCTCCAGCTTTCTCCTCCCCGATAAAATAGGTTAGGTTATAATCGGTTCTGATAATCATTAATAATAGGTAACATTATTCACTTCATTGCTAATATTGAATCTTGAGAAACCCGGATGCAACTAAGGGCTAATTACTAATAGGAGAATTTTCGAAGAAAAAAAATCGATCGAAATAAATTTGATATATTTCTACAATAAATATTTATCAGTATGTGTGTTTGTGTACATGATTTTGACCAGAAAGATTGTTCTGATCATCACACTTTTAAAACAATTTCAACAAATAATATTGCCTAGTTGGTATTTTGGAGAAGGGCGTTTTACGAAATTTCCAACAGTTATCCTAATAATTGTGAAATCTCTAATCGATAGACATAACATTTTTAATAATGCTCAATCACCGATGCTATAGATGGTATAATTTTCAAAAGATTTTTTTTTTTTTGAGCTGTTTATATTTAAATGTCATATTATCTTAATTTTTTTTTTTTTTTAAATATTGGTAAAATAATTTTGGTTTTTCAAAAAGGTGTAAAATGTAAGTATAAAATTGTTCATACATTTTATTCATATTTATAGCTGATTAAAAAAAAAAAAAAAAAATTTGAACTTAATTACAAACAAAATTTACGATCATTTGAATATTATACGTTAACACAGGTAAAACCATAAATATCACAAAATCCGTTACACTTCAGACTCAAAAATTCATAATATTTTAAATTTTTATATTTAAGACTTGAAAATTGAATACAAGATATTTTCGTAAGATTTTCTTTGTAGCCAAAAATATTTTACTAGAAAGTCGCGAAAATGTTTTTTAAGCATAACAAAATTACATTTTGACGAAATCAAATATTTCAACGAATGTTTAAGAACAAACTTAAGTTATTTAGTTAAAGACATGTACAATGGTTTTAAGTTTAAAATACTAAAACAACAATACCCATCACCTAATCCTTGTATCACCTCCGATCGCGGAGACTCACCTGACCTAGAATGTTCGCACTTTTTTTTTTAAAAATTTATTCTGAATAATGATTTGTTGAATCGGTATTCGATATTCGATAGTAAAATATTTTCCATATTCTATATCACAATCGTAGTGCATCTAAATCTATAACTTGCATACCATGGGCCAGATACATTGCACCCCCGCACCAGCCCTAACCCGGAACCGATCCTTTCGCACACGCGCACGGCGGTAGCGTCTCAGATTTTCACCTTCCACCAGTGCCCCGTCGTACTTGACGTGCGCCGAATAGTATCCCGGCTTGCACACGCACCAATAATTCCCGGCTGAGAATGGCCGATCGCCCGGTTTGTATACACAGTCGGTGGTCGTGTCGTGACACTTGTTGGTCCCGTTGAACACGTTGGATTCGTCGGACTTTTCGCACTGGTCAATCGTCACCGCGGACAGGTTGGCTTCGACAATTACGCTGTAAACAGATGAATATCAAATCATTCGAACTGCAATGACGTTGACAACGTAAATTATGTTTCACGGTCGAAATCGCATAATAATATCCTTATACATCATACACGCTGTATTATTTGTATACCTGTTTAAATATTGCACCGTATCCCGCAGGATCGTCATTCAATATAATTTGTTGGCGAATCGGTACGGTAAGAGAGAACAACTTGTTTATATTTACAATGATGATATATTTTTGCAACCATATATGAAAAGTTTATTTTAAAAATCGTCTGATGAATTTTATCGAATTTATCGAAATCTTTTTCATCTTAGTCTCAAAATTATTATGGTAACAAATTATGTTTTGAATTCGAACTGATGTCTTCTAAATTAGAATCTTCATACTATGTGGATTAATGTGGTCAGCTATTATATGTCAACAATGAACGTTCATGATGAGAAATAGCTGAATTTTTAAATATTTTTCTGGTCAGTCATTCTCCAATGTTTTGTTTGTCCTACAATTTGAGCCTCTGTTTTTATTGTGCTTTTTGTTTTAGTTTTTTTATAAGAAATTATAATCCAACAGATAATTCAATAATTTATATTGCAAATATATGCTGTAAGTGATAAATATAAACCGCGTAGATGTATATGGGTAATTTTTAAGGTACAAAATTAAATTATGTTAACGAGCATTGTTATTATGGCTGCATCCAATTTGCGGTCAGAGACGATTTTTGAGATAAGGACATATAACCGTTGCGGTCACGGGAATTGTAGGTAATATCCTAGTTGCGGTCATATACCTATTACTTATCTGTAAAGTTTGTAAATAAAATAAAAAAAATTGTATAGCCCAATAGTACAGTGGCGTACATATCCATTTTGTATGGGGGGGGGGGGATCAATTGCAAACAAATTATTATGGAAGGAAAATTCCTAAACCAAAGTACTTGCACATTTAAATAATACATTATAATATATATATATTAAATGTGTCAAAATAATCATTTTCAATAAATCCTTGAAATATTTTTTTGTTTCCTCATAACTTCCTTACATTATGAACACTATTTTATACAATTTTTAAAAGACCTATGGGGGGATCTGATCCCCACATATCCCCTTGTATACGCCACTGTAATAGTATAATCATGAACTAGATGATCACTAATCAATGGTACGGCAAAAGATTAGTTACAGTGTTAAAGCAGTGGAGCAGTTGAGCGAGCGTTCCTCCAAAATTTTTCATTCAGAGTTGTCAAGTACAGTACTCAGTGTACTGGGGTCAATTGACGTTACATTGATTAGAAAAAATATACAAACTGCAAGAATGAATGTTCACCAGAAGTTGTCGCGTGGCTTTTCACAATTACATTTGACGCTTCCTAACGTAATTAATAAAATGCGAACCAAAAATAATGAAAATTTTATTTTTATAAACGATGTTCAGAACAATAAAATATGTCTTACAAATCAAATAAACTTTAATTTTTAAACAATGTGATTCAATTTTTATGGACGGTACTTTTTCAAGTTGCCATTTTCCTTTTAAACAATTTTTTGTGATACATGGATATAAAAATAAAAGCAGATCATACGTATCTTTGTTGTTTTCGTTATTGCCTAGTAAATTGCTTTGTAATACGTACAAGACTATATTAGACCACCTCAAAGGTTGTTGTCTGACTATATCACAAATAGAGTCTTCAGTGGTTTCAAACCTACACAATTAAAATAGTATGGACAGTCCTAAATCTGTTTATAAAATGGAAAGGAAAATGTTGAAACTTTTTTGTAAATAAAATAGCATGGTATATACCATATATTCTAGATATATATTTTGAGTCACCGCAACTAGTATGTAACCTTTTTGTTGGGTGATCGCAACTAGTACGTAATTTTTGATTTTGACCGCAACTAGTATACACCAGATATTATCACGCATGTAAGGACCTCCGATAAAAAATATATTTTCATGCTAAACTTACGTGATTTTGTTTTCAAACGTAATTTCCACATGTTCCACGAAACTGCTCTCGTCGCACCTCCAATGCGTACTGTTCGTTTTGGTTTTTACCGAAGAATATACGTTGCCTGGTTTTTTGTAAGTCTTAATCGGTTGATCTCCCGAGTACACTTCAAGCAATATCAGTCCTGGCACCGAATCCCATAGCCATTTACAGCCGGCCATTAACAGTTCTAGACAGAATACAATTTGTAATGAACTCAACGCCACACAGTGGGTTGGATATTAGTAGCAAAGGATAAAAATTAAAAATATATCACTATGGTTTTGTAGTTACATTTGGGTACGTTGTGTAGATAAATATAATAAAAGTTATTATATTTCTGATATGTCAAATTAATGAGTCGGTTACAAACATTTAAGTCAATGGCTCACAAAAATTGTTATGATTTGAAAAAATCCCTCCCCCATTACCACCAAAGGGTTCGAATATTAACAATAGTATCGATTTTGGAATCTCAAAAATATTGAACTGTGGTATAAGATGATTTCGTACAACGTTTGAGTAATTTTTGGGGGGAGATAATTCTTGCCCCTAAGTGTGACTGTTAGGTGAAAACCAATTTATACAAAAATGCGAATTACACAATACATAGTTCGTCTATACAAAACTCACCCCGTTTAGTGGTCAAATCTTGTATGCTCAGCGACCGGATCAAGGAGAGTTTCGGTTCCAAAGACACTTTGTGCCAGAACACCAGTGGCATGTCGTATTGGTTCTCGAAACATTCGTAAGCGGTACTACTGTTGCCGACGGTCGACGCTCTGACCACATCTATAGGCAGCTGTGCCACGTCCGTCGAGCAAAACTTCACTCCAGCAGTTATGCACAGGAACAAAACGCTGAGCTCGAGCAACGGAGGTGGTACCATCAGAGCGGTATAGCGTCGTTGTCGTTTGTCGCGAACAGTGGAAATGGCCGTGGCATCGGGTCGTGTTGGGCGGCAAATACGAAACGAAACCTTAACAGTATCCTTTTCATTAAAGCCGTACAACTGGTGGGGGACGCGACAACCACTCACTAATTAGTTTACGTACGGGCGTGTAATTGTGCGCGCGATCGTCCGCGCGGACACTGCGCGAGCGCCACACGCCACGGCGCTCTCGGCAAAGAACATTATTTTTATTATTGTTTCTTGGTCTCGTAAGCGTATGCAATTTAGAAATCGTGTTCGGATCAACAACGGTTTACTTCGACAAGACAACTGTTTTGGCTTTTCACGTCGTATTCTAACCAGTGACACCTTGATCGCGTTTTATCGATTGAAAATATCAATGATCCGACCGCGTTGTGTACGTAAGTACATGCACGGTACTACTGGGATTTAAGTGACCGGGACAAAAACAACATTTCTAATGCACAATACGGGTTTTGATTCTTGATCTACAAGCTGCCGTGTAAACGAACGATACAGTTTTAAAATAATAGTGATCGTTGTTCAACGATCATCATAATTCAAACGCAATAAAAGTGCCGATAAATCCGAGACACTGATTTTTATTCAAGTAATCCAAAGCATATTCCAAACCTTTCGGTTACAAAACAAAAGACCTCCTTCCCATCCGCCTCACTTAAAAATAAAGAAGGTAGCCTTGAACAGCAATAGTAATGTTTAACTTGTCAGGGAAAAATGAAACCTGATAAACTTTTGGTTACCTACATAAAATAACACTTTCCCAATGTAAAATTTAATATTCCTCATGTATACGAATAAGTCTAAATATAAAAATGATTTCATCTATACAGTGAATATATTTTTTGTGACAATACAAACATCCAACATTGATTTTTCGGTAGTTATTCGTTTCCGCCAAAATCGTACCTTACACTTTTACACTAAAATCCTTGAATATTTTTTTTCTTTAAATATATATAATTTGTTAAATTGATTTAAAATTTAAATACAATATTTCAATATTTAATTCAAATAATGGACTAACTTATTTCATTTCGTGGAAAAGTGAATCGGAGGAATAGGGAAAGGTAAACTTTTGGCGGAAATCGATCATGCCTGATATTTTATTCTCAAGAAACTGTTTCCAGATTAATTTACAAAGATTTAGTTCAATCATGAAACCCAGTAGGTGTTCTCATTTTATATTAAAAACAAATTGAAGTATATTAATGTAATAATAATACGAGTATCTGAAAACTTTTTCGAGGGCAAATCAATTATGACGTTGGACATATTTTATACGAACAGTCTAATTACTAGTTTAATTGATATTACGTATTTTAGTTTTACATTTTAGCCATTAATAGAAATAGATTAAAATCGTTAAACGGATAATCTAATGGTATGTAAATTATTAAATTATTTGTAAAAATATAAGTATAAGCATAAGTATAATACATAATTATATTATGTTAACGAACTGTTTCACAAAAAACTAAAACAAACTAATAATGTATACAAATTTAAGTTTTAAAATAAAAAATTTTTTTTTGAACAAAACGTATATTTTATTCCGTTCAATTTTGTGAGTATTAATTAACAACTGCACTTAGGGGTTTCGCTTTTACTAGATGAGGTGAATAAACTCTGGTACGTAAATCATTATTTTCGTAACACATTTCACAAGATAAGTATTCGTAAAATTTTCGCTCCAATGAAATGTAAGACCTTTAATATTTCACACAATCATATGGTATTTAAAATCGAAACGCAAACGGTTGTGCAAAACAGCGTTTATTTTTTGTTTAGAGTTCAAGGCTTTTTTTTTCTAAACAATTGAAAACGTGAACTAATCGACGACCGCAGACATAAAAACTTATAGTGGACCAACGAGCACTGGAAAAAATGCAATGATTTTCAGTCATTCGTCAAACCGTTCGAGTAACCGATCCGTCCGTTTAAACGCGCAAGTACGTTTCGCTGTTTGCGTGTGCAACGTCTATAACAAATGCTGTTTGTAATCGACAGGGCCGTAGCAACCAAATATTGCACCCGGGGTGAAACTTCAAAATGCGTCCTTAAGTATTTTAATTAATAAAAAAAAACTCATAAAAAAACTGAATACTTTTTTAAACATTATACATTAACATTAAACGTATTATAAATAATACGTTTTCTTTACAATTATGTAAGCCTTGTTAATTTTATTTAAATCAATAACTTATTAAACTATATACAAACATTGTAATTATAAGTTATAAGTTAGATACATAGGTATAACATAATTATATTTATAAGTTATTTGTGTAAATACATAATATTATTTTTACTTAAAAAATTAAATAGCAAATTTTTCATTTTTGCGTCCTCCCAGGGATTGTGCCCGAGGCGTAGGCACCTCTATATAATATGAACTTTAAATAAAGTATGAAAAATAAGAATTCGTATTTCTTATCTTTACGCCGTGTCCCACGTAAGTCCGGTGAGTGCGGCAAACGCGTTGCGGTATGAACTCATCGGACGTTTTTCTACGCCGCATTCGCCGAGACAAATGTGAGTCCGACTCGCAGTGCACAGCGATACATACTTTACTACGCGCGGTTGGTTTTAAAAAACTTTAAACATTTAATATTTGTATTGATACTTTGTATTTAATATTGTGTTAAAGACTTATAGTATAAAAAATATAAACAAAATAAAATATCGATGGCAAACACATTTATTTATAACGATTGGTTTGCTTTTGGCGAATTTTATTTTATTTACGAAGTGACAATGCTATGTTTCGAGTATATACTAGAACGACATCGGAAGCACTTGATTATAGAAATAATTAAAATAATTACAATTATAAATATAATAATTCGTATTTTATAATTTATTTATAACTTTTTTACACTCTCTATCCAAATTAGTTTTTAGCCACTATACTCCATTTCTTATCACTAACTACTCTATACTTTTTGTCGAACTTGTTCCATAGGACATTCCGCTTTTGCACTTCTGATATTAAGAGTTAACATGTTTCCATTCACATTGCCTCGTTAGTTCGACACAGAGGTGGATAGGTAGTTATTTTGTTACAGAGAAATATTTTAACGAGGCCACCAAAATGAAAAAAAAAATGCTTTATGTGTTATATTTACTCATCTTAATTTAATTTAAATAATTAAACTATATAAAAAAAAAAAAAATAATAATAAATTTCCATGAAAAAATTAATGGTATCGAGGGGGCCAAAGACATGATATAGGGCGAGGGCCCACAGGGATAATTCCTTTTTCCCTAAGGGGCCTATCCACCCCGGGTTCAACATTCGCGTCACCTTTTTGTTCGCTCGTACGTACGCGCGCCGCATTCAAGACCTCGTGCAGACGGTTTTTTTCGATTCCGCGTCGTGCGTCGAAAACAAATGTGTGCCGGGACAGCAGCGAACGGGCAAACGGGACCGGCTTAAGGGGTAGGCGACATAGGCCCACGCCTAGGGCAGCATTTTTCCTGGACAATTTTTATGTATGAAAAAAAATATTTGATAAAATATTTACACGTAAGGAGCGGCAAACTATATTTTGCCTATGTTTGCTTAAACTCTTGAGCCTGCGGGCAAACATTGCGCGTCCGCACGACGATCGAACACGTCCGGTTGGCTCTGGCGTTTGGCACACGTTCGTACGGGCGCGGCACGTTGACCGAACTCGCGCGCGCATGGAACCCCGGTACTCGGAGGCATTCGAATTCGCCTCACCACGTGAGTATCCGCGTGTGTTGAGCACCACGTTTCGTCTCGTTTGCACAACCGCGACGGCCCCGGAAACGTTCGCGTGCGCCGGCCGAACCGACCGTCACACGACCGCATGCGACCCTGGTACTCGTGCGTCTACGATGTGAGTAACACGTGTATTTTTCACACGCACACACGGCTCCGGTTGGCTCCACGTGTCGTTACTCACGTTCGTGTTTTTTTTTTTCCACTCGTTTCGAACATTCGACGCGCAGCGAGCACTCCGTTGCCGTCGTACCACGACGATTTCGGTTTCCGATGGGGGAGAAAAAAAAAAAAAGAAGAAACTGTGATTTCGAATTAATTCTAGATCGAAAAATTAGTCGGATAAAAATGCTGCGGACTAATTGTCACCGGAAATAATTGGACGTGTTTGAACGTGTTAAAATGTGAGCAACTAACAATTATAATATGTATATTGTTCTTTTGACAATTGTTAAACAAATAAATTGTTTGTTCGTTTACTTTAAACACAATTAACGCTATTTTAAAATGTCCGAGACATTTTGTCCAATGAATATTTTGACTACATTTCGTGTTTTTTAGAGTTATGATGTTATATTATATTCGTTATTATATCACGTTATGGAGTTTGAAAAAAAAAAGAAATTCACGGTGGTTAGCACAGAAATTAGTAACTTGTACTGTATTAATTTATTGTTTATTTATTGTTGAATCAAGTCCGATTGTTTTGTGTTAAGTTTGTATTTATTGATTATAAAATAACAATGTTCTACGACTGCAGACAGGGAAGCCTATGCTTAGGAGATCAAAGGGATCTAGGCACTTCGCAATATTCTGATCACGTGATTAATTTCGTGAGTAATGCCGGACTTTGTCGGATCGGTAAGTGTATGAACGGAAACGTTCAAATGTGAATTACCTAAATTAAAACACATAATAAAATATTTTGCGGAACGGTATGGTACTGTGTCTATAAGTACGTGTCTGACTAGTATGAATCATATGCTTGTAATTTGAGAGCACGAATTATTTTTCTATGCAAAGTACAAATGTAAGCTTGAGGGCCGTCGTAAAATTTTAGAAGTTTCGCGTCACTGACTATAAACATTTAGTAAAGATAAATATATTATAAAGCAATGGTAAAATGATGGAACAGTTTTTATTTTATCAATAAATCAATCCATTGAGTAAGTACTCAATGGAAGTATGTATATGTAATAAAAATCTGTAAACATTCTTTTATAATAATAAATGTAATTGGTTAAAGCGTTTCCAAATTTAATAAAAAATGATAAAATATCATGCAAACAAACTGTTCGGATTTGAAAAACTAATTAGATATTATTTATTTTTAATGTTATCAGTCAATAACATAATTTAATAGTTAATATTAAATATTAATATAATATTTAAATTTTTTTAAGCATTTTATAATTTTATTTATTATTTTCATTTATTTTATGTTATTATGTTAATTAATAATATTTCATTTAAATTAAATATTTTTGTCGTTTCAATTTCAAAAAAAAATGTTAATACGAAAAATCATTATTTACCGATTCATTCTTCGGAACTAGGAGCACCTGTTGACGATCGCTTTTCAATACCATAACTAGGGTCTCAGAAATGCATGTTTCATGACAGAAACAAGAACTCAAATATCAATGACGAAAAAAGTGATTCATAACAAAATGTACTATGTAAAAGCCATGACGTGATTACAAATAAACAATAAACAATAAACCTTGCTCTACAATTAATATGATAAAAATAAGTCTTTTAAGGCATACAAACATATACGTTTTTGATTTTACGTTAAAACAATTTCTTTTTTAAAATATTATGATGAATTTTTCAATTTAGACTTTCCGCACCGTATTCGATTGATATTAATGATATTTAAGAACCGCGGTTAAAACCAATAAATAACGGTATCATATTGATTATTGATAGTTCAAAAGTCGATTGCTGACGTACACAAACGTCTTCGCGTGACGTCAGCGCGCGCGCATGGTTAGGTAACGA